TTAACATTAATCCTCCCAGTAAGGAAACACAAAGCAGTTTATACAAAGATGGAGTAAGTGTTATTCAAATGCCAGCTACTGTTTGATCCTGCCAAGTGATACGAAACATGAGGAAAAAAAGTGTTTGTTTGGCATCTGTTGCCATATTTAGCTATTAAATTAATTCTAATGAATAACCAAAGCAATACAGACTGAACCCTGGTGAACTGTGCATTTCCATATAGTCAGTGATACACCAGTCCATTGATGGGCATCGATGGCTCAAGCAATCAGTATGGTTATGTCCATCCATCCATTCTCCTTCAGTTATTGTTATCAGGGTTGCAGGGCCAAAGTCAGTCACAAACAGGTATATGTATTATGGTATTTTGCACAAAAAGTGGACAGTCTTTGTAATGACAGTAGCTCTGGACAGTTTTAAACCAGAAGCTGTTTTCTGTGCAGTGTGTAATTGTGTAGTTTCCTTCTGATATGTCAAGCTTTGTGAAGAATGATGTTGAATGTGTGCTAATAAAACCTCTCTTTTCTTGTCAGACATACTGCTTTGAACAAATCATCACCTGTGCAAAAAGCAAACTAAAACAGGCCGCAGGTTTGCTTGTATTTGCACAGGCATATAAAGACCCGATGTCAGACCCTCCTAATTGCTGCATCTGTCTGGATGAGTTCACAAGCCCTGTGTTCCTCCCCTGTGGACACGTCTTCTGCTTGGGATGCATTGGAGAATACTGGAAAATCAACGAGGCTTGCCAGTGCCCCCTTTGCAAGACTTTGTTTCCTACCAGGCCACAGCTCAAAACAGACCAGACACTACATACTGTGAAAGCACCTCAACCTTTAAAACCTGGAGAGGTTCCCTGTGACTCCTGCTCTGCAAAACGTCCTGCAGTCAAATCCTGCCTGATGTGCATGGCTTCCTACTGCACCACTCATCTGGAAGGACATTACCAGACTGAAGAGCTTGGGCGCCATCTACTGGTCAGTGTGGTGAAAAACCTTGAGGATTCTGTGTGCAAACTGCATGGGAAGAAGTTGGAGAAGTTCTGCAGAAGCGACCGGGCGTGCATTTGTGCTATGTGTGCACAGACAGAGCATTGGAGCCACAACATCATTTCTATTAGCCGGGAAGCCTTTAAGAAGAAGGTAAAGAAATTTCTGCTTAAGCTTTTTTAGAAAAAGTCCTTACAAATAATTTTTGTTGGCAATAATGTAATAAGTATTCTCTAATTTCAGCTTAAAAAAAGACTAAAAAACTTGCCACTCAGTTGGATTCACATGGTATCCCATAATAATCTCAGACAATTAGTGTTAAAGCTGTTTAGTAAGTTATATTTGTTAACAAATTAAACAACAAAAGTAAGAATTAGCTTACATCTTGGCAGCCATTTCTTGCCTTAGCATTTCATTTTTTCATTCCCTTTTTTGATTACTTTTGTAAATTTGGATGGGGGTCAAAAAATTGACTCTTTTTGTAATCAAAAAGTGAACTGAAGCTCTTGATGGAGTTTTGTTTTGTGTCATCCATCAAAGCAAAAGAAACTGTCATCACGGGGTGCACAGGATTGCAACATACTTCAGAAGAAGCTCAGGAGACCATACGACGACTTGATTTAATAAAAAATGTTACATGTGTGCCTGCAGTTTGTCAGCTCAGCTGTGCTAATGCAGTGTCTCCCCACAGGTTACTGTAAAACGGAGGAGGATGAAACTTCAGCAAGAGGTTCAAGATAGACTGAGTGAAGCTGAGAAAATCAAGCTCACTGTAGATCTCAGTGGACAAAGTCCAAAAGAG